AAGCCATTCTGACAAGGATGCTACTGCATGGAGTTGAAACTGTACAAACACAGAAAAACAGGTTAAGATTCAGTAATATTAAAAACCATGGTAATAATTAACTTCAATTGTTACAAGAATTTACAAGGGTTAACAAATGTAAAATACAAACAAACAAAAACTCTAAACAAATTCTAAATTCTAAACAAGATGAATGGACAAATTTGTTATTTTGCATAATAAAAATAATCTTTTGCTAAAGAAAATATTTATTATTTTAACATTAGGTGTACAAATTATGAATTTGTTAAAATTTGCTAAACATAGAAAGGTGGATACTTGAGTCAAGGTTTGTTTTTATGTGGGTGGTGAACAGCTGCACTTTTCCACAAGTTTAGACCAGAGTGGCTTAAATTATATATTTTCCATTTTGTTAGACACAAAAAGATTGTCACCCACTCAGTAATTAACTAGAATTGAACCATGGTCGTGACGTCACACTATTGTATTATCTAGGAAAATATCCACCAACTAAGGTAAGAAAACATAGTGTTCTCGAACTACCCAAAATTCCTTTATTGTGGAATCGTCCATTTCGGTAAAACCAGTACAATTTTAAAAATAAGCAGGAATAAATCTTAAATATATTAAAACTTGTATCTTAAAATGCATTACAATGCTCTACAATGCTCAATGCACATTAGTTCAGTTATTAGAAACTGTAACAATATTTCTAGTAATATCCTGGTTTAAAACAAAGAACAACCTAACGTTGAAGTTTCTGTCTTCAGAGTAGCGATTTTAAGCCAGAAACTCCTTGGTTTTGATGGTTTTCTTTTACATAGTCTGGGAGACATTGAAATATTCCAAAAGCTATTAACATTCAGCTATGCCTTCAAGAAATCGAGGATAAGTGCAGTACAGCTCAATTTAATTCCCAAACTGGTTTTATCTTTTCATACAAACTTACATGTCTATATCATAGTTATAAATTATCCCAATATTCAGTATGTTATAGATATAACGGTAATAAATACTCTGGCACATTATTCTGTACAATTTAAATATAAGGTGGTTTTGAAAGCTAGGTTTAAGCCACTTTTACTTTTGATCTGCACTCAGTGATAGGATATTTTTTTTATCTCGCGCTGTCAGGCTTCTGTAGTCAATGTAAAAAGTCTTTGAGTGTGACGGCCGTCCGTAATCTTGAACACGTCAGTGACTGCGATGTTAAATTACCCCAAATAAAAGCAAAATGTTAAATTCAAACAAGCTTAAGTGCAGATATGTTTTCCGTGCTGGATGTATAATAATAACACTTACTAAATACTTCACAATTTGTTCCTGTATATCCAGTATCACATGTGCAGAAATATGCTACAGTTCCAACATCAGTACAGAAGCCATTCTGGCAAGGATTGCTACTACATGGGGTTGCAACTACATATACAACAACATTCACAATGTTAGTCTAACAGTATTTATGTTCATAAAATTTTAAAACACATTGCAGCTTTAAGAGCACATATTGGATGTCAAGTTAAAATGAAATTGTAGTTAAATGTTGTGCAAATGTGTTATCTACTGATCAAGTATTTTTTTTCTGTTCTGTGATTATAGTTAATTTAAAACTCACACATTATGCTATACACCAATGCAGTTCAAATCGTAACTCTAGTATATGTTATCGCCACAAACTATCTTTAGGTATGACAAGCACATTAAAGGGCAGTAGTCGTTGTGCCACGTCCTGTTCGATATGGGACTCATAGCGACGTATACAACACGTGTAAAATACATTGTTTATTTACATGAAATTCGAACACGCGCTGCGCGATGACCACTGCGCTTTAACTTTCCCAACAGATTTTCCATTTACTGCAAAAAGCATTAAATATGTGTAGAATTCCCACCGCAAAAATCAAAATGATTGAACTTAAACTTTTAGAATTTTTCATCAAAAGTGTATAGCACATTAATTAATAAGCATGAAGACACTCCCGAAATAGTTTCGCATTTGTCAAATCAAAGTTTTATGCCACTACTGTAACAATGCTATGACGTTTGTTTGTCTTATTTTTATGTTTGATTTCACACAACTGGTTGCTATTAATCTGAAAACATTCTGAGTGTAAGTCCCTTGATGCACATGTGCAAATGTTTGAGTGATGTGAGAATGTGAATTATTAAATTACAAATAAAATCTATCATTTGTTGTATGTTGTCAATTTGACAAAATGCACGCAACCTACGAGTCTCTTGCGCTCATCATTTTCCACTGTAGTAAAATAAACAGTGACGGCGACTATATATAATTGTTTTATGCCAAGCAGACTTACCAATTACATCACAATTCGTTCCTGTCCAGCCTGATTGACACTGACAAAAATATGCACCATTAGAAAGATCTGTGCAGACACCATTCACGCATGGATTTATTTCACATGCAAAAACTGTAAGAAAAGTATTGTATATACTCATAAGCATATCTTATTATTCTCTCATTATACTTTTAAAATCACAATTATAGCTAATATCAATACCTCAACAAGTTTATTTGCTCTATTACCGGTATTAGCGCATACACTTAAATTATTGAGATGATTCTACTTTCATAATAAGTACCGGTAATACCGGTATTTATAATTTAGTATACATAATTTCAGGTTTATATTACTTCTATTTTAATACAGTAAATATGGTAATATCAAATAATGCAATAAGGAACTTTTAAATTAATTTTAGATAAATTTAAAACCAGTTTATTAAACATCAGCTATTAAAGATTCCAGTTTATATACATAACACAATCTAACCGTATATTTCAGCAATAATAATTAAAACTGAAAGAAGGAAAAATAGTTAATATTGTATATTATGTATTGAAAAGTACAATTTTGTGTACATTATTTGCATTTGGTCTACTTTACGTGCTAAATCAACTTCAGTAGGTTTTAAACCAAATATTAGCATACCTTGTACATTACAGGTACTCCCAGACCATCCAGTATAGCATGTACAACTGTATGCACCATTGCCAAAATCAGTACAGTCACCGTTAACACATGGATTTGTCGCACATCCAATGATAGTAGCTATAGCAACAAAAAGAATACTTTATTAATCATTTCAGATTTTTTCAATTTGCAAGAAAGCACGACTACGCACACTTTCGGGTTTCCACTGTCAATAAAGTGTTTGAATGTGATGCATCAATCAAATCAAATGTGTTTGTTTGTCAGTGTGTGTGTTTTTTTAACACTTGCTTTTTTTACTTATATTAATATTAAAGGAAGGAAGGTGACAGTAATATAACAATAAACAATAAAAAAAATGATGCTATATTACTTGATTGAACTATCAGCTCAGTGTGAGTGTGCTACGTCAAATGTTATTGTTAATTACGACAAATGTTATTGTTTCGTCTCAGAGAGGCTCAGCTGAAGTGCACGAGGCCAAGATTTTTCGATACATGCATATTTAATTTTTTTTTTTTAAACAAGGTCGTGTGAATATTAGTCATCATTTAAAAAGAAATTTTTAAATAATAAAACAAAATCATTGCAAAACTCTATATACATCTTTATTTTTCAAGACATAAATATACCTGCATGAATTTCATGATCCAGGGAAAACCACAACATTTTGAAGAAGTGAACATTTTATTTTATTTTTAAGTGATGTAGATTTATATACTTACTACTTTCACAGTTAGTACCACTCCAACCAGACTGACATGAGCATCGGTACCCAACACATGGGCTTTCAACAGTCGTACAGATACCATTATTTTGACAAGGGTTAGGTTGACATGGGCTTGGAATTGCTGAAACATTGAACATATGTTTATCATTATTGTGCTCATCTAGTGCTTATTTATGCAGTACATCAATGTGTTCTTCTCAATTTAAGCTGTGTTAACAGTAAACAATTTAACTTGTAGGTAAACAGTGGCTTAATTAGAAAACTTCACTTCACAAAACAATTGCTTTTTTGCTTTTTTTTTGTAATTCAAAAAATATTCAAAAATTTGAATACACTATGATAGTTCATTATCTCCAATCGCTAATATAAATTTGAGGTAATGCTATATTTTACAGATTTGAATAAAAACAAATTGTTAAATAGACATTTATCAAAAATGTAAATTTTAATATTTAAAATTTTTGTTCAGTAACAAAATTGACTGGGTATACTGAATGAAAAAATGTAACATAAGCATATTTATATTATTGTATCTGTACAAAAATAAACACTTCTGATGGTTTGTTTTAGGCAGTGTCTCTTATTTTGCCAATATAGTCAAGATATAATATACATGTACATGCTGAATTTAAAAGGCATGCACGAGATATTGGGTCCCAAAGATGGTAACTGTTATTGTTGTTCAGATCAACGCATACAAAAACAAAGACATACACCAACAAGATTTGACTAGGTAATTCCTGTGAATTGGAATGCATTATGCACATTATGACTGGATTAAAACTTGTATTCCTGCTTGCCACTGCAAGAGCACTTATTACCTGTGGGGATCATTGTTTATCAACAAAAATCTCACAAATGGATGGCACGATGACCACAATTCTTTAATGCCAGTATCAGACCCCGGTATCAGACATGGTATAAACACAAATTCAGGCTAATATTCATAACAGCAAAAAACTTTATACAGAATGAAACACCAACCTGTTTCACAATTTATTCCAATAAAACAGCCAACGCACTGACAAGTGTACTGGTCACACGTACCAGCTACCGTGTTGCATACACCACCATTCAAACAAGGGTTAATATTACATGCATCAATTGCTGCAAACAAAGAAAATGAAATGAAAGAACATGAAATACTTTCCAGTACCTTCTCCAGGCAACATTTGTCGGGGCGAGATGCAAATCATAGGTGTGTTTGCTAAATAAGTTGAATTGTCTGGTTAGACATCAAAGTGTTTTCTAAGATTATCATTCCATTTGCTGAATTATTTTTGTGCAGCAATAGCTTTGATGTATATATTATTCATATTCATTTTATATATTATTTGACCTATGACGTTATTACCACGATCAGTGATTGGTTTAGAACCGACCTATCACAACTCAAATTTTGTGTCATGTGATACTTGAGAATCTTGTGGTTCCGCCATTATTATTATTATTATTTTGTTGTTTCAAGCCGATGTCGATGTTTCCCGTTTCATAGTTCAATAAATGTCAATTCTGACATGAAACTTTCCGACTTCGTTAATTGTTCCGACTCATAGTATACAGTGGCTATACTCCAAGCCAAATCACATCCACAACATTAACATTGAAAGGAAAGTTGCTTGACCTGTAGTAAGTGTTAACTTTCAAACACCAGTGAATTGTACTGGGAGTCTTAGTATATGGATATATTTACCAGTTTGACATATCTGTCCTGTGTAACAGCCAACACATGTACAGAAATACTCTGTACAAGATCCAGGTTGCAATGTACATATTCCTCCATTCATACACGGTGTACTTGTTACACACGGGCTGCTAATAGCTGTTTACAAGAAACAATATACAACATAGGATTTTGTTAAAGGAGGAATGCGAGAGACAAACAGGTTGACTAGAACATGTTTTTCAATTCGTTATTTTTTTGACAACAATTAATTCATTCTAATGTCTGACAAGAAAATGCTTTGATTTCACACAAAATCAGCTTCAAAGTTGGAATTTGTACACAGTTTATCACAGACCGGGTGCCAGTTTAGAGCATAACGCTAAAAAAAATGTCAAAAAGCAAGAGTTAGATTCAGAGTCATTTTTTCCTTAGATTATGGTTGTGTGAAATTAATTCACAAATTATTTCACCTTTTATTATTTTAAATGTGTTATTATGCAATATTACCATAATATAAAAATAATAATGAATTTATTGCATCCTTAGAAATAATTTCCATTGGTTGACAACAATAAAATGTTAGTAATAAAATACAATACACTTAAATGTCAGTTATTAATTTCAAATATTTTGTATATAAAGTAGTAAAATGCATATAATTATAGAAGTGCATTTCAAATAGAAACAATTCAACATCAATCACATTTTTACTTGATTATTGAAATATTACTTCTTTTATCCATAGACATGATGCTATCATTTACATAAGTGCTTGCATTGCTAATAGAGCAAACACGCTGCATATATTGTGTGCTATTTATAAATATCACATTAAATCGAGGGGAATCATAACTTATATAGCAAAAACCCTTCCCTATAGACATGTACCGTTCCATCAAAATATTGAATTATGCAAGTCTTACCTTGTTCACAGTTAAAACCAGTATAACATCCCATACAAGTACAAGAATACTCAGAACATGATCCGGTGACTGGTGTGCATACTCCATTATTCTGGCAGGGGTTGTTGTTGCATGGGTTTTGTACTGTAATAAAGGAATGATCACTTTTCAGTCATCTATTAAATGTAAATGAACGTTGTATTTCACACATCATATGTGTTATAAAAATCACAATTTCAATATTTGATGGGAGTTTTTTTAATCATATTTCCTAAATGAGTGAAATATAATCATTACTTACATGTCTGACAGTAAGTGCCAGTGTAACAACCAGCACATTGACATACCAACTCAGAACACTGTGAACGTATACAGACAGCACCATTCTGACAAGGACTGTTTGCGCATGGATCAGGGATAGCTGATATCAGAACAAATTTCAAGTTAGTTTACAGCAATTCCAGGCACTGATTTGACGCTGAAGTAGTGCTAGATATATATAACAATAGGTTACACACTTTGTTTTCACATTTACATAAGTTGTAACTAGAAATATAGTTGCGGCTGCAAATCAGAGAAATGATTGACAGATATTGCCCACAATGTTTTCTATTTTTGCTACAAAGTCAGGTACACCTAGACTTTGAGGCGCATCTGTCTTTTAGTCACTTTTGGTCAGTCATCGTGTTGATTGCATTTCCACAAATCGGCATTTGTCCAAGTTAATTGTTTGAACACCACAGGGAGAAGCAAGGAGTCGAAAAACCAGTTGAAGTGAGAATCAAGAGTTGTCGATTTGTATTTTCGTGACTGTCATTTGTTGAGATTGGAGATCGAAATGGTGTTTCAAAGCAGACAACTTATAATGTCAAACGGTTTGTTACCACGGCGAGAGTATCCTGCCAGGAAAGCGCAAGAGCGACCAATCCACGACTAAAAAACTTACAACTTTATAGACTGTGTCAAATATTATAAAATGCTGAAGACCGAGCATTTACGTACGGGAAATTACGATTATAGAACTACTAAGACTGGCTTATACGACCAGATTTAGGGAGGAAACTGTGAAACAGTACTTCCTGGATAGCTGCTGTGTCTGTCTATGGAGACAGTGGTGTTTCTATACGTACTGGCCTCTCTTTCAGTTCTTCTGGAACAAGTAGTGCTTGAGGGTACTCAACTTATGAAAGGGGTCTATTAATCTGATAGCAAAAAAGGTGTTCACATGGTCAGATTTATTTGATCAGATTAATCTGGTGAAATTGAACATTTCCGATATTCAAAAGATCTTATCAGACATCAGATTTTGCGATTTACAGGATGCGATAATCTGTTCAGAAACATCTGACTGTGTAGACCAGCCTAGAACAAATTCTGTGTGTTGTAAATGACAAGAATAGAAAATGGATGGGAAAGATACAACAGATGTTGACACTAATGCACAGTATCTACCTGAGAACAACATCATCAAACTAATCAAAAATTTACAAATCCAGTTAACTGAAAAACATTATACTTAAAAATAGATCAATTGATTATTGCATATATTATATATACATTATATATTAATTTATTATTTAACGTGCATGAACATTGCTACTATATCTATATTATTCAAGGTCATACTGGTTCACAAAAACAAGTGCACCTTAGAAAAAAAGGTCTATGGACATTGTTGATGCCAAAAAATTAAACATTGCAGTTAATATTTGTAGCAGTATTCTTACCAGTTTGGCAATTGGTTCCAGTGAAGCACCCATTACACTGACATTGAAAGGACGTACATGATCCGGGACTTGCGATGCAGACCGCATTATTTAGACAGGGGTTTGGTTGGCACTGGTTGATTGCTGAAACATAGTATGGAAAATTAGATTATAATCCAGGAGTGAGCAACAAAAATCATATACGATTTATTTGCCAAATGCAAGATTTACATTAAGTTTTCACATAATGCATGTGGGCTTGATCACAAGTTACATGTACATGAAAGTTATATTTTGTAGTAACGTATAAATTCAATCTGAAAGTTTTAGCTAAATTTAGCTACCCTGTATCTGTAGCTAATTCAACAGAGAGAATATTCTGACATGCTGGCACACAAATGTCTGGGAGCCAAGTTTGGTCCTAATGAATTTGAGATATAAGCCAAAATGTGCGAAAAACATTTTCAGAAAATAAATAAATAAATAAATACTCTTATTCTAAGTTTGAACAGAATCACCAGTTTTAGGCTATTTTTGGATTGAAACTGGCCACCAGTCGGCCATATTGTAACTGAACAAAAACAAATCCGGGGCATGAGCATATCATCATGTATCAATCATGTACTAAATTTGGGGAAAATCCGCTTATGAACATCTAAATAATGTGATGAACAGACAGAACTCAATCAATAGGCCTGGCTGGACCATGTCCAGTCGAGGGCCAACAAGTTGCAGGAACAGTATAAAAAATCAGGTTTATACTGTAAACACAATTGATTTCTATTGCCTTATTTTGTGTTAAGGTGCTGTCCAATACTTAAATGAACAAGAATCACCAGAACCAATCAACTTTAAATCACCATACCAGGAACGGTTCATTTACAGTAATGTGGAATGCAAAAAGGTCACAATATTATAATAGTGCATGTGAAAAAAATGCTTACCTGTTTGGCAGAACGCTCCTGTGAAACATGATGTGCACTGACATGTTGATTCAGTGCAGGAACCAGGTACAGCCAAACATTGTCCACCATTTTGACAGACATTATTGCTGCATGGATCCAAGACTAAAACAAATTAAGTCAATTAAAATCCATGCTACAAATGTAGGCTTACATACTCTCAGAAAGAGAACGTAAGTTTGAATTGTACGATCAGTTGCTGCACAGCAATTCGAAACAAAAAACTTTATAACAGAACTGCATTAGATTGCTGCATGAATATTTTTCTTCCAAGTATGTGTTATTAAACTTCATATTGGATTTTGCAAAGGATTATGGGATAGGAAATTGAACTGTAGAGGGCGTTTGGGGGGAAAACTCACATCATTTCCGTAGAGCTCCATGTTAAATCAGCTGTTTATCTCTACTGCTTTCAAGCAACACGTTATGGTTATATATTGTTGGAGTTTCCATTAATTTTTCTGGGAAGATTGTTTTAAAGATTTTTTTTAGATTTTTTACTGTTTATGGCCACAAGTTGTCTTACTGTAGAAACCGTAGAAGAAGGTAAGTGTATCTAATTTCTACTCCTCCATTTATTCTAATTTATGTTTCATTATTTTCCATATCACAGTGGGAAAAAAACATGCATCAATCTCGTCTACTAAAATGTTTTGGTGGATTTTAAATCGGGTTTAGAATATATTTCTTTCCTATTAACACAATATATACAAAATAAACTGAGTTGAGAGACTGTAGTACAAATGGCTTCAAGTGAAATGTTAGATGAATTGCTTACTAGTATATAAAGTGTATAGCATATTGGTATTAAACTCACATTGATCACAGGTAAATCCTGTGTAACATCCGAGGCAACTACACTGAAAACGGGTGCATGATGTTCCAATGGGAGAGCACACACCACCATTGTTACAAGGATTTGGAGAACATGCTGATATTGCTGTGAAAATAAATTATATATATGTTCATGAATTAAGAAATATTGTTTCATGTACAAGTTGTAGTATAATAGCTTGCTACTTTATTCTGGTAAAACAAACCAGAAAAATAGTATTTACCTGAACTGCAATCAGATCCAGTATAGCAGGGCTGGCAATAACATTGGTAATCAGTACAACTTCCTTGTTGCGGTACACAGAAACCACCATTGAAACATGGATTTGGTTGGCATTGGTCTATCACTAAGTATAAAAGAAACCACATTTGAACTGAGAATAAGAGAAGTTTAGGAGGGTAGCTAGGCTGCTCGTGTATTTATTGATTAGGCATGTTTTCATACAAATCACAGTGATGTTATTTCAGTGCATGATATTTATTTTAGTATTACTGTAAAATACTTTATTTTAGCTGGAATTAATTTACGCTGAATAGACTTTTTGGTGTTTTAAATTTATTTTCACTGGTTTTTGTATTGTTGAATGTAAAATATAGGAAAAAAATATATTCGCTGCATTTTATTTTCATTGAATCACTCCTTCAGCGAAAATAGCGAAAATTAATTCCAGGTGAAAATAAAGTATTTTACATTAAGCCCATACCAAAGGTGTGTTTGCTTGTTTGTTTTCACTAATAAAATAATATGCAAAAAATTGACAATTTTTCAATAAATCTTAAAATTACTTTTAAAATAATATAATTATATTTGACCATGCATTTGTTCAAACAGTTGTATATTTTCATTTCATTTTATTTATTTATTTGTAATCATCAATTTTGGAAAGATGAGTATAGTGTACTTTAACAACAATCATCAAGATTATTTCATCAAGAAATAATTATATATAATCACACAACATTTTCTTTTCAGCAGAATAAGTTATTAAGAGTTTTTTATCAGGTGATGATTTATGCTACTCCGGGGGTAATTATGAGTGTGCTGATGCCAACCAAAGAGAAAATATCATGTGATTTCATATTTATCACATGCATATTTATGCAGAATAAAATAACAAACAGAGTGTTGACAGTGAAAATATTGCTAAAGTAACACTGAATACAAATATATAATTGTGCGAACCTTGTATGAATAGATGGAAAATTACATTATAATACAGGAGTGGTCGAAAAACTATATATGATTTAATTACCAAATGCAAGATTTAGTTTTCACATTATGTATGGGGGGGTCGAACACATGTACCGGTAAATTATATTTTAAAAGTAAATTCAATCTGAAAGTTTTACCTAAATTTAGGTATCATATATCTTTTCTAATTTAAGATGTAGTTAATTCAGAGAGTACTTTCAAACATGCTAGCTTGCATACAACCTGTCAAGGAATCAAGTTTGGACCTAATTGGACATGTGAATTTGAGATATAAGCCAAAATTGGCGAAAAAAAGGAAAATTGCTGATTTTCATCAAACAAAATGGCTACCAGGTGACCATTTTAAATTTGATTGTGACATAATCAACTTTGTATGCTAATTTTGAAAACAATGAAAAAATGAAAAAGAAATTCAGCAGTACGCGACGTCACTCTGTGGTGGTTTTTGATCTACTCTGTGTTATGTAACAGTGTGATGATTTGCAAGTTATACATGTGATAACATACAAGTATTGGAATATTTATGACACAACCTCTGGATCAGCATAGAACAAAATATTTGTGCAAAATTGTTTTCAATCAATATTTTTTAGCACAATTGACATACACATACATAGGTATATGTAGCCCAGACATTGAAAACAATGAATGTAATTATTTCATATTCAACTTACATATACTACAAGATATACCAGTATAACATCCAATACAATTACAATTGTATTCTGAACAAGAACCAGCAACAGCAGTACAGATGCCTTGGTTACCACACGGGTTATTGTCACAGGGGCTGATAACTGTAATATAAAGAACGTTACAATTCAACAACATACTGGAATTCTATTATTCATTGGGTCATGAATAAACAATTATTTTTGCTCTTGGCTTGATTGTAGAGAAAAAAAAGTTTATATATTTGTTGAGTGGCTGGATTATCATAGAGTAGATTTTAGTTAATGGTAACTTGAATTTGAAACAAGTCATTGTCAATGACACGTCCCCGTTCCGTTCATATTTGAGTGACATATACATTCAAAGCAGATCATGACCGAAATGCACCTGCATATGCACAACACATTGTTCTAAATCTGAACAAAATCCATCCATGCATGACTGAGATCAGGTTCCGGAATTGTGAAAATACGTGATTTTGATGCATTTTCGGCCTTAAAATGGCCATCATTCAGCTATTGTTAAGCGG